GTTTTATTTTAGTTTTTTTATACTGTACGGTGAGAGTCGCTATAGAACGGATCTTCTCTTTATCCATCAGTTGATCGATACATTCGACATTAGTCGCCAATCGACTTAGTTCAGAAAATCGTTTCGATAAATAATCATTAAGAGCATTAGCTAAAAGAATAAATGTAACAATAACATATATATCTGTCAACTATTCCAGTAATATGGATTTTTTTCTTGTTTCTTTACATACACACAGAGACACACATATATTATAATAATAATGATAATAATAATAATAATAATCAGTCACAAGGGAACGAGAATCTCTCGAAAAATGCAATCAACAACGATAGATATATGTTAAGAGAAAAAGAAAACAATCTATATAAATGTTTCTATTAGCTTTAAAGAAAAAATAAAAAAGTGTTAATCTACTTTTTTTCCTAAATATTTAACAATCAATATATATTTATTTTAAAAATTTAAATGATCATTATTTAAACGAAACAAATCAAACTTCTATGGCTTTTTTTTTTTATTAGAATCTCATATGACATAACACAAACTAATTTCATCTTATTATTCAAAACACTTTTTTTTTTATCTTTTAAAAAAAAATAAAAACAATTCAACATTAGAAGAAAAAAATTCTATTTAAAAAAATGTGATCGTCTATTTTATAACAGAGATCGGTCAGAATTTGTTTGTTTTTTTGTTTTTCCGAGACAAAAAAACAAAAAATCTCTTCTATTTAATAATCAAATTCGATTTTCTAACTATTTCTTTTTTTACTCTTTTTTCGAATAATCAAATATATAGATAAACGAGTGCACGATTTACTTTCCGTGGATTTACTTTCCGTTGATTATTTTAAGTTTTAATTGGATTTTTTTCAAAACAAAATTACGTTTTTCGCTATCAAGGATTTACTTTCCGTTTATTACATAAAAATGATTTTCCAATTAACGATTTTTTCATATGATGATTTACTTTCCGTTTGATTACTTCGACGAAAAGAAACGAACAGATACATAGTCATTGAGACAATTCAAATATTATGAGAACTAATTTTCAATAAATAGATGAACAAATACATATAACAATAAATATATGAATCAATAAATATTACAATAAATATGTGAATAAATAACAAAAAAAAGAAAGATATATGGATGTTTAACTTTTTGATGGTCGTTGAAAATATCTCATTCCGACAGCTTTCAAGAATGTTGGCATATCAATACGACTTTCATCATAACGTTTCCATAATTTCATTAAACATTCTTCTGAAATCACGTTATTTTTACGACGTTTTGGAGTTGGAGCACCCAGGTCGCCACGTAATCTTGTGATCGAGGCTAATGATTGTTTCTTTTGCAATAAATCTATTGCAACGTAAATATTTGGATGTGGAGAATTAACATGCTTTTTAACTCGAGAGTGGCGACCTT